GCATAATTGTTTCTTTTCAATCAGGCACTTAGTGTTTGCAGCTATCAAATTTGCTGCAGCTGTAATCAAACACGATGTCTTGGGAAGGAAAACCTTCACCTACCGTTAAATCTTGCTGCATTACACAGCACTGCTTCAGCAGCAACGGGGCCCAGAGTCCAAAACCACCTACTTCTTTCCAGGGGCTACCAACTGAACTTTGGGTGGGGTTTTTTGGGGTCTTTGTTTGTTTGTTGGGGTGGGGAAGGGGGAGAACACCACATCAAAACTCTAAAAGTTACACAGATGAAGATTTGTAAAAAAATGTATTCAACATGACTGCATCCCTTTTCTTTTTATAGCACTTTCCTTGTTAGAACTCCAACATCATGAATGAAAATACCATCCCATTTGAGAGAGGGAGAAACCGAGGCACAGTGCAAAATGGTGACTTGAGAACATGAAGGGACAGGGACAAAGTTTAAGTAAGAATCCAATTCCTTCCTGTTCCTGCTAGGAATGCACTGGACAGCACCATCCTAGCCACAGCAGGACAAGTCTCCAGCAAGATCCCTGTGCCTTCTACACATTTCTGCACTGCCTGAAGAAAACACCTGGTTAGCAGCCTAAGGGAAGATCACCCACCCCCCCGGGATAGCTGCAGTGTTCCATGAACTCAGTCACTGGTCTTTCCTGTACTTCTGCTTCCCATCTTCAGTTATCTGTCCTCTTCTCCCCCTGCCCACAGCCAGAGCACCACGCTCCAGCACAGGGCTCCAGGTGGGTGCATCTGGCACCCCGCACCGCGCTGCTCCAGAGCCCAGTCCCGCGCAGCCAGCGCACGCCCCGCTGGGAGCCCCTGCGGGACCGCCCTGGCCCAGCCGGCTACCGGAACACCCCCGTCGCGGCAGCAGCTGTAACACGGCGTCGGAGCAGAAGGAAGTTTTATGCTGACTGCTCACTTAGTGTCTGACAAACACTCAGAGTCTCAAAGAAAAGCACGAAGTTTCCTTCAGCTCACAAGCCTCGGTGCTTTACAGCACTGCTCTCCAGTCACGTATGATAAAGAGCATGTTTGGGTATCTTCCCTTAAATCCCTTTCTATTTTTCACACCCTCAGGACTAACAAGGCAAGTAATGGTTTACAAATAATAATACAATTTTATCTTATATCTACATTAGTAAACTAAAAAAAATCACCTGCTATTCATCACGTACTGTTATTAGCATTACTGAGGAAATGATGTGGAATTTATATCCATTTTCCTCTTATTCTAAAAGACTTGCCCAATTTATTTTAAATGTCAACTTACTATGTATTCATCAGGTGCGCAGCAGCAGTGATTGTAATTAATTTCACATTGTAGTCTAGGCATGTGCCTTAATATTAGCTTCACACATCTTTCAGGGGAAGCAATAAATGGAAGCATTGGTCATTTTTGGTCATTAAATCTTCAGGAATGTTTTTCACAAAATGAGACTGTCAAGATTCACATCCTAGTAAAATTCTAGTAGATTATTTATAGCTGTCTACTTCAAAATCCTCCTGCAGTTGAAATCAAATACAAGGTTCCACAACAGCTGGTTAGGATTTTTGAGAAGAATAATTTAGTCATAAAAAAGGAAAAAATCCCACAGACTGAGGGTGAAAAAGGCTAATTGTGAAATCATGTTGAATTCAAGGGACAGTTCAACAGGAAAAAAAAAACAAGTTTAAGGATGCTAAAAGCATAAAAACGCTTAATTTAAATATTTTCCAAATCATACATTCTGAAATGGAGTTGCATAAGAACTGCTTATATTCAGTAAAATAGTCTCTTCAGGAGAAAAATTACCTTCAGACCAAAGTATTGTATTTAAGTGGAAATGAAATTTTCTCTGTTCCTTCAATTCAGCAAGAAAAAGCTGACAATTTTTCATTCCCAGTCATCCTGCAATGGTTGCCCCTGTTTCTTCTTCCAGCTCATCCGCTTAACGACAGTTCTTGGTGCCGATCCAGCCATGTCTCCTCTCAAGCCGGGATACCGCTGTGGGACTTCCCACATTCACACCACCCCACAGAACCTCCCCAATGCTGCACGTGCACTCACGAAAGCACATTCCTAGCAGCATGTACGACAAGGAGCCATTCCGACCTTGTTTGGCAACTTGGAAGCTGGGAACCCGGACCCCACAACCAACACGCGACCGTGCGGAACCACCTGCGCCACAGCTGGGAAGAGCAGCCAGATCTCTGAAGCTGTGAACCGGTGCCTTAAACCCCGAGACGCTGCTCCCCCAGCAGCACTGTCCTGGGTTGCAACCGTGTCCGCTCCTTCAGTGATGGCTGGGCTGGGGAAGGAGAACATCAGCCTTTGTTCACTCTCAACACTGTCTTCCACAGCAGAAGAATGAGTGTAACATCCCTACTGTTTACTGGGCTTTGAAACAGTATTTGGCATCTAGAGAAAAATCACAACAAACAGTAAGGGACCAGAGAACATGAAGAATCAGACAATGAAAGCGGACAGAAACAAGCTGGCAACACACACCAAACTAAATGAAGATGAGGAATTCAAACAATGAGGAAAAGAGGATTAAGGAAGATCTAGCTGCAAGGCACAATAACGTCTAATGGAGTCAGAAAACTGAGCTCAAGTAGGAAGCGTCACGGCACAGCAGCCCTGGAGCTGGCTATTCCTCATATTCCACGGTCAGCTCTGGCACCTGCCTTACCTGGGGCTCAAAAAAAAAAAGCTCTGCAGACTTTCAGAAACTCACTCTACCTATCTGTTCTTAAAGCATCCCTAAAAGTTCTCATAGTGGAGATCTTCTTTAACAGATTCTGCCGCCGCCACCTCTGCACACAAGCTTTCCCTTTTCTAGGCAGTGAAATGTATAGTTGAACTGCATCCTGCAACAACCAGAAATGAAGAAAAATATATATATAGGTACGAGCAGGAGATGTCTGTGTTGTTTTCAAGAAATTGCTTGCAAGAGATCTTATCGTGCAGGCATCATACTAACTAGATAACCTAGCAAGATGTTAACTTCGACAAAGCCAACCTCAATTTATGTATTCCCCAGAGGGTCAGGGCAGAGCAGACACCAGTGTAAGCACAATGGTTTTGTGTCACTTGGATGCCTCCGACTACGTACCTTCTTCCCGTCTCTCTTCACAGAAGGTCCTGCAATCTTTTGTTCCAGTTCTAAAATTCTGTTTCTTTTGGTGGATTTCCCAAAGATTACTTCGAGGGAGGAGAGGAATAATGAACATGCTTTGAGAGCAGATCATAAAGGAGCCATTTACTGCAAGGACTCTGATGCATTGTTCTGTCTTTAAACATGAATTATCGAATCACAAGCTATTCACCGAGTCGTAGATTGCCAATGAACTGAAACAGCATTACAGCAGCAGTGCATCCCTTTGATCAAAACCACACTTATCTCCTCCTTTAGTCTTAGTTAACAACAATCCAAATGGCAAGCCAGTAGCTCGTTTTGAGGCAGGCTCGGAGTAGAATGTTCGGCATGCCTGTCCCTTTCCCTCTCAAAATGAAGCTTTTATTTACACCTATGCTCTGTGTCACTCAGTGGCTCTGGTGTAAGTTTTAAGTACATCTCTTTTTTCTCCTGAAGATGCCCTCAGCTACCCGCTTTAAAGCCTCCCAATCACCAGTCAAATAAACTTCAGATAATTTAAAATATTGTGACTAAAGGGTAGCCCTGGAACAAGCCTTTGTAGAAGACTATAGATCAAGGTAATAAAAAACCATCAGAAGTGTACACGCCACTGTATCTAAATGCCAAACAATGTACTCTGAACGTCACAAACACAGCTATGTGTCCTCTGTCACACAATTTGGGAGCTCTGTGCTGTCATGTCTGCTAGACACAGACTGACATATGTTTCAGCAGAGATTCTGCAAAGCGGCACCGGGATCTGCCTTTCCTCACCACGCTGCTGCGCTCACCCGTCCTGACAGCCACCACACACCACCAGCATCCCCAGTAGGCACTTACCCTGTGACAAAACAGAGCATGGTCTCCAACCGAGCTGACCTCGGCCACCGCTGCCTAGCCATACCGAACACCTGCTAACACAGCGATCACTTCAAGACTAATAAAAACGTCTCGGTGCCACTGCCGCCTCAAGGCAGAGGAAAGGTTTCAATCAGAAATTAGAGGGTATTTAAACAGATTTCCGCTGAAACTGAACAATCATCAAGCACAGCAAATGTTGAGAGACTACAACATCATCTAAATGAAGGCATCTGCTTAGTTTAATGCATTGGGTAATTGTCCGGTAGGACTCATTATCAAAAATTATCATTAAGGCTGAGAACTAAGGACTCCGAAGAAAAACATTTATGGCAACAGGAACAACATTCTAGGTTCAATAATCAACCTACGCATAGCATAATTCAAATTTTAAATAGTTAATCTGCCATTAACCCAGCAGTACCAGCTCATCTTACAAACATGCCCTGCCTTCTAGCATAAACAGTTCTGTCTCATATCTGATGACCTCCAGCATTAGAGATCCAAGATTTCCGGAAGCTACCAGGCCTTCACATACAATCCTTTACCTCCACAACCACCAAACCCTGGACATCATTTCTGACAAGACACACAGGAGGTGAATTTAAATACTTGGGGAGTAAGATGCGGGGAAAAGTGACCTATAAGCGAAGAGAATGTAAAGGGGAAGCGCACTCATCTCCGAGCATCCCATGCGCTGCTGGGCAGTCCCCACTGCCTCCGCTGTAAATCCCAGCAGCTACGCAACCCTTCCTTCTCAGTCATTCTAGCTTTGCAGTTAGAGTAAGCTTGTGAAGATGCTAAGAGGAAAAAATACGTGACACTTGGAAGGAATCTGAAAAAAAATGGATCAAATTACTTAAGAACCAGGCACTTCTGTCTTGGATTAAGTGTCTGCGTATGTATGTATCCCAGTATAAACTCTGCATCTTAGTTTTGCATCCTACCATAAGGCAAATGGAGATACAATTAAAGATAATTACTAAACTAGGCAGACTTACCTTCATAGTTCGCCTGGAAGCCTTGAGCACTGACCGCATAATCACTCACAAGCCACAAGGACAGCACAACCCCTGTACTCACAATAGGAGCCGGCAGCTGGAAACCTGTTAACCTGGAAGAAATCAAGAGGAAGGTTACACTCACCATTTCTGCCTTTGACCCGCTAGCAAATCGAGGAGCGGGGCAGCCACCACACCACTCCCTGAAGCGGGGAGCTTCAGAGCTAAAGGGAACAGACTGGGATAGCTGTTCAACAACACTGGGCAAACCCATCCTGGGCTTTTAACACCTTCTGCTTACCAGGGTAACTACTAACGTATTTCTTCACTGACCATGTTTTAAACCAGCCTATTTGATTCACATCTTGTTCACTAACAACATCTGCTCTGCAGCACTTTGCTAACCCCAGCTCTGTCATCTCCAAGCAGTCACTGAGCCCTTCAGAGTAACCTTCCCCACCCTTGAACTGGAGCAATATTTAAGGTTCCTGAGTGAGCCCAGCCCGGGATCTGCCTTTCCTCAGCACACTGCTGTGCTCACCTGTCCATGATTCAATAACGCTTGCAACATGTTCTGAGAACCTCGAAGAAAAAATACTAGATAAGCGTCTGAAGCATTACACTAGCTACATTAAATCGAACACAAACTGAAACAGCGTAAGAGAACAAGCAAAAAAAACTGACATTATGAATTAATCAAAGCCCATCAAGGTGGCTGTCTTCAGAGTATTTGTTCTGTAGTTTTACAACAGATAAGGTTTGAAGTTTCTAGGAATCCTCCTCAGGCCCCCACCCACTTGTCCCTGCAAGAACAATCCCAAGGACGGCAGTTTTCATCCTACATCCTAATACCTAACATGTACCACTGTGAAGATTGTGATGGTTAACACCTCTTCACTCACTGAGGAAATCAAAGCCCACAGACACGAAATGTTTGCACAACATGATCTAGTGGATGTATTGTAGCAACTGCCTAGAAACAAGCCAGAGCAGAAAGAACCATATGAAAAAGGTGACAAGTCTCGTGAATAGACCAAAGACAGTACTGCAGAAACTCAAAGCCCAGGTGTCTTGCCCTCCCACCCACTTTCCTTGCGGACTTAGAGCTAAATGACAACTGTTAATTTTATTACAGAAGTCTGTTCAGTATTGATTTTAAACCGGTATTATTAGATCCCAAACATGAAATCTCTGATACTGTATTGACACAGCCCGAGAACAGCTAATGTACATTTCTAACAATTACAGTTTTGTAACTTCTAAGCCTTATCCTTACGCTTGGCTAAGGAGATTTACATTATAGATTTACATAAAGAACATTTGTCTTAGAGCAATCTCATACAAGATGCTTGCCTGCCATTATCAAAGGCAGATGCAATCCCCGTTGCCTGATAACCGTCCTAAACCCAGACTTTTACAAAACCACAGAAGCAGCAGTGACTGAGGGAACTCACTGCCCCACGATAGTGTTCAAGATCAAGACTATTCAAGCCAGATCACAAGGGCACAAGTAGAACGAGATAAACAGGCTACAGTAAGCAAGAAGGCTTAAAGCTTCTTATGCACTTACTCGGAGGTTTATCCCACACCTTTTCACACAGCAGCTAGTCTGTCTTACAGAGCAGGTAAAAGATCACTCATGATACAAAGCACTCCGATGCTTTAAGAAACATCCGTAAATACACATTTCATTCAGAGTATTTCCTCTCCTCATATATTACACGGAATGAAAATGCACCCATAGCACAAAATCAGATCCTTCGTTTTGGGGGCCACCACCCTCTCTCTGACCACGGGGTCAGGTACCAGGCACACTGCAGTCTCCAGCCCAGGCAATTTCTCCTTAAAGTCGCCACCAGCCCCCCGGCAACTTCCAGAGACAGAGAGTGAACTTCCCTAGTGTTCTTACTCTGGCCCTAATTTAGCAAACCTAAATATTATTTCAAAGAGATTGAACTCCGACTAACGAAAGCTGACGTGCTCTGCCTGAGAACCTTATTAAAGCAAAATTTCCAGTTATTGGAAAAGTTCACCCAGCTGCCAGCCAATAATGGTAGTCAAGTTTTAATGTCAAAGAAGTACTTACCCACTCTCAGCATAAAATCCATTATCTGTACAAGCTAGAAGAACAACTGCTCCTGTTTATTAAAAACAAAAGGTTCCAGGATTTTTAAGGATTCAAGAAAGCCTTACCCTGCACAGAACTAAGGAAGTGTGCCATAGTTTTTATTACTTTATTCTGCTGTTTAATTAAAATGGCTTATTGAAACCTTCATGCACCCCAAAAATCCAGGAAACTCATGGACCATTTTTAATAAAAACATGCAATGGACAGCAGAACCTGTCAACTTTTCTTCCTCTGATCACCACACAGTGTTTTATCATTATGTAGGAATTAATTAACATTACTCTGCGCTTTCTACATCCAAAGTAGACCTGATCTCTCCGTACTAAGCTTTTTGCATCATGGATTCTCTTCATAGTCTATGTACTAGGAGGACCCCACTTTGCAGATACTGCAACTTTTATGTGCCTCCTCACCTGTCAGCAAGTGCACGTGTCCCACAGGAGCCAATGGGATTTAACTGCTACCTAACAACACTGCCCAGAAGCACGTATTCGTATTTTCCAGTCACAGGGCCTTCAAAGAAAAGGATGGCCTGTGCATAAGGGCATGAAATTGTAACTGAGGGTTTGTTCTCAGTCCTTCTACAGATTCCGCACTGACTGAACAGACAATTTCCATGGGAACCTCTGGGATTCCTGAAACTCTATAAATTAATAAACCCAAGCATCTCTCCAGATCCTTAAAAATAGATGTTCATTTGTGTCTGTCGAGCGTCCCTGGAGCAAGCAGAAGGAAACTGGCTGCCTAATGGCACAAAAGGTGACCCAACACGGGCTTCCCCTTCAGACCAAATAGCCTTTCTGCCCACAAAAGACAAAAAGTGTCCCCATTAGTGCTAAAACTAAACTTATTCAGAAGGAAGCAGGAAATACTGCTTCACTAAGAAAGATATCTACATAGCAAATCCTACTCTCTATGCCACTAATTTCTGTATCTCCTCCCACAGTGAAAACCTGCACTAGAAATAAGAAGAAATTTCTCCCATTCCGCAGTGGAAGCAGCTGCAGTCAAAATTAAAAGTTATTCTCCTCTTCAGCCCTCAACCAACATACACAATTGAAAATTTTTCCTTCTTCTGATGTCCTCATCTTCTCCAAGCAAGAGCACAGGCAACATCCTCTTGAAGAAACAATAATTTAACAAGGCTTATGCTCCAGTCACTCCTGTAAAACCTCAGCATTCCTGTTCCAAAAACCCAGAAAAAGCCAAGCTTGGCAGGACACTCTACCTTGTTTTCACCTGGCTGGTAAACTGTCCTCATGCCCTCCTCTCTAAACCTGCAGCCCATGCAAATTCAAAGCATGGGGATCAACACAATGGCAGACAGAATATGAAATCATTCCCCAGCGGCCTCATGCATGAAACAGTAATTCTGACATCCCTGTTATTTAGTGTAGTAATGAAAAATATATACGCTAATGAGAAAGAAAAGCAGCAAACTCTGTTCCTTGTTTTTATTAAGGGCCATAACAAGAAGGTGAAGGCGGTAATAACAGCACGAATAATCATCTTCCATTTCTTCCGTACCTCTGGCCAAATGGATTATTGAGTGATTATCCCCTTAAGTTGCTTGGAGCCAACACAGACTGTGTGAGATTTTCAATGTGTTTTTCATTGGCTTAATTCTGCTCCTACTGTGAGGAACCAAACTCAACCAGTGCCAGAAATACCACTTCATAAGCTTGCCCTTGCTTCACAGTACGGCAAAAATCAATATACCAAAACAAATCAACACAGAAATCCTCTACTCTATTTGCATCCTCCTTCATTCTTTGCCTCAGGTTTGCCAAGGACATTGCAAATATTTCTGGTGCATGACAACAGCAAAGCCTGCCTCACAGGACAGCCTTGCTGGAACCGATGTCACTCAAGTCCAGCTGCTGTTGTAGCCACCAGCTCTCCACAGGCCCTCTGTGGTTCCACAGGCACTAACCCCTCGGCACGCCTGGACCACGCACTGGGGTCTCAGCGCGTGGCTCTCCACTGCCCATAGAGCCCAGCTGCCCCACTGCTGTGACAGGTCACCTTCTGCCCTAACACCAGGATCTTCTTTCCCGGTGGAAAACTGTCCCGTCCACCTACAAAAGGAGTTGAGCACCAAAGACTCACTGACTGCTCTGCTCAGCCGGCTCAACCTGCAGCTGAAGGCTTCTTTTGCCCTAAAAATAGAACAGTCAGCCAGGCCAGGCCACACCTCAGTCCCTTCACAAAAGCTCTCACCTCCATCTGTTGCTATTATACTGTTCCACTGTATCAAGTACAACTGTATCATACACTGTGATGCAGGCTCCCATTTCAGAGCGCAGGTGCCATAATTAAAACAGAGCACATTATTTTTCTGGTAGGATGCCCACCATCAGCTCAGGCTGCAATCAAAATAGTTATTGCAGCTGGCAATCCAACAGCCTTTAAAGCACAAATGCTAGAGAAGTGTCTCAGAACATCTAATGAAAACGCATTGGATTGCATCATTTAACCCAGCATTAAATTACACTACACCATACTTCAGTGATTTTTTCCTGCATGTAATTTAAAGGCACCTATTAAAGAAAATTTCCCATCAAATGAACCACTTCCTTCACTACATGTAGTTTAAATGGCATAGTTCTCTAAGTGCTAGTCTGACACCCTTGCACTATCCCAGGACAATACCCAAGCTACACCAGGTGTAAGGGACTGTGTTGAGAAAACAGCAGCTCCAAGTGAGCACTGACCTTTGGAGTGGTCTTTGGAGACAGCCCAGAATGAGCCTGCGAGTCCTCTTTCACCCTGTGCTCCCTGTTAACAAGGCAGCAGCCAACCTGAAGTCATTCCAAAGGTACATTCATGATGTATTCAACTAACCCATTATCAACTGGGGCCAACAGAAAGAGCCCCATAACTTCCAATTGACTTTAAATCAAGTTTTACGTGCCTTATTCAGCTAGACAGCTGGCTCATGGGCACCCAGCAAGGAGCAAGCTCTCCAGCTTCAGTGAGAGCCTC